ATTTTCACAAGGAAACTCACACTAAATAGCAAACAAGACTGCAAAATAGAGTTATAAATTGACAAACTGGAAAGTTAGGACCTAAGAAGCTGCCACCGATACCAACAGCAATGACATCCTTCAGGGCTTTTCCTGTGGCACCAACCTACCAGAATTGCCAATTACTTCACAATTCGGGCAATATGGACCCAAAATGGATGCTAAAAAAAATTGTAGTGATTACCCAAAATCCACTTCGAAAACTCTCAGAAATGGATCTTGCATCCCTTGGACCACATTTTTCCCATCACTCTGTATAACTGCATCCCTTGTGAGCATGAAGAGCTACATGAAGCACTGATCTATTTTCTGTGCTGTTTATCTGAAGGCAACACCCAGAAAAAGAAAAACAGAACGCAAAAGAATCACATGATAATGCTTCAGAAATAAGCAGTGGTCTCATCTTTACCATAAATCCTATAAAGCTATCAAATATAAGTTATTGTGACTTCAGGGCTTTTCCTGTGGCACCAACAGATACAATCTCCACTCAGACGAGGTAGTTTGTTTGTTCTTGTAAAAAAACAAACAAATCATGCTCGATGTTGTGATGAAGCAAACCTGAAAAATTTGTCATTGCCTTCATTTATATATTTTGCAGGTTACAAGGAAGCTTGAAGGTCACGCTAAAAGAGTCACTAGCCTTGCCTTCTCGAACATTCTGAATGTACTAGTTTCTTCTGGTGCTGATGCATATTGGAAACTACAATTACTTTCAGACATGGCTTCTACTCTAATGTGACTTCTGTCATTTAACGACGTCATTTTGGCCCTGCAGATATTTGTGTGGGGTGCTGCTGGGTGGGAAAAACAGAGAAGCAAATTGAAAGGGATGAAATAATGATCAAAACCAATATTCTAGATGCATTTAACTGAAGAGCTGGAGTCAAACTTATGAGCAATGAAAAAGAACCATTTTGCAGTCTAGGTAAACTAAGTTTAATTCTTCAAAAAAAGACCCTCACATTTTCCCTCTCAACCTGATTTGATGTCTTCAATATGTCAATATGAAATAGAAATAACAATCACTATGCGATGAAGATCTATTTCCAGATCAGAAAGCAAAATTTCCTTGAGGCCATTAACAAGTGAGAACATTTTTTTGAAGCTTCTTATACTCTATACATAAACAATCTTGAAAAAAATACCATGTTCTGCATGTTTTTGGTTCATTCTTGATCTCAAAAGTTTTTGCCGAAGGTAATGAGGAGTTATTCAAAGAAATGCATCAAATGTGTATGGGTTCAATCCAACAGGGATCATAAGGCACTCTCTATGTGTGGAGATATAATGTCTATGATGAAGGAAAATGCTAGATCATTATTCATTATCATATAATTAAGGTACAACAAGCACCATATATTTATCTCTTCAATATGATTGATATATTTGCCAATGATCCTGGTACAACAACTTGTATAAGAATTGAAGATATTTTATTACATAACATTCTATAGTACTATTAGCTACTATATTTTCACATCAGAAAAATATTACAATAAAAATTCAAAAAATCACTGCTCTTATCATCGACCTCGAGGGTCTTGCCATCTGTTGGTACTAAGCAATGAATCCCATCCTTTATCTACAATTAAGAATCATACAAGACATCAACTATACATGCAAAACCATATAGAAGGGATGAAATTTTTGACAGGTGTTTGCGATGACCTTACGAGGAGCAGCCCAAGACTGGCTTCACACTCTGCCATCCTGGTCAATCAGCATTCATAACATTGAAATGTTGCGTTGGGCTGTGATATAATCAATCAATTGTTGGTCTTCAAACCCACAAGGGGCCTAAGCCTCTCAGTCAGATTTTGCATAATGATGGCATATCTACAGAGAATTTATTCAATAATGGATATTTCTTTAAAGAACAATCTATCGAATCTCATAATATGCAGAGATAATAATCTTCCAAAAGCCACAAGAGACCTCAATTTCTGAAATTCTTGTTACAATAATTCCTCAAAAGCTCCTTCACCCAGCCAAGTTTCGACCCCGCATTCATAACATTGTAGCAAATTCACAATCAGACCATTCAAACCAACAGGAAGAGAAACTAAAAAGAAAATCATTCCAATTATGGTAGCAAAACTCACAAGACAGAAAATAATCCCCAAGTTACTGATCCTCTACAAATGAATGGTGTTATCAAACTCCGACAGATACTGTTTGAATGCATCTGGATTTCCAGTTTCTATTAAATCCATTCCCATCCTGTCCAAAGCCTCAATAGATTTGTGTCTCAATAGATTTGTGTACAGAAAAGAGAGAGTGAATTGTTAGGAAGAGCTAACCTTTACGTTGTTGATAAACGTGAGTGGCTGAAACCCCAGCTTGATGTATCTGCAGACACGCCAGACCCGCCAGGAAACAAGAAATCTAAATAAAAAAACCGCCATTCAAGTTTACCAAAAATCGGCAGCCTAGGTGGGCTAGGCGGGTCCTTTTTAAAAAATTTTTTTAAAAAAAAAAAAAAAAGTATAGCCGGGCTATACTCGGTGTTGTTTTAAAATAAAAATTGTATAGCCGCACGGCTAGACTTGGATTTTTTTGACACGTGGTGAAGCAGCGCTAGGAGCCAGCAGTGGTCTTTTTTTATTTATAGATAGTATAGCCGTGAGCCTATACTCGCATTTTTTATTATAAAAAATGTATAGCCGAAAGGGCTATACCACAGTTTTTTATTTGAGGAAATAGCCGGACGGCTGTACCTCCCACGGCTCTATTGAAGTTTTTCTTTCACCATAAGCAAAGTACAGTTGTCATGCATTTACCTGACAGGACCAAATTGTGATATTCCGTTTCCTACCAATATCAATTTAACATGTGTGTAGAAGTTATTGATTTTTTATTATGTATTTTTGATAAATTATGTTTACATATATATATATATATTAAATCGTAATTTACGGAAATGAAGGGTATTTTCTTCCCGAAAATCACGCAAGCGATATCATTTTATAAATTAGGGGCCCCATCGTCCTGACCAGATTTTTAGTAACCTGAGAAGTTCAGTGGATGGTCATTGCCTGGGTGGTTGCTTGTGTCATTGACTCTTAGGCAAAGGTGATATATACAGAGCAGAGCAGAGAGGCCATTCACTCGCATAGTCGCATTCATACCTTACAAGCTATATATTTCTTTCTCTGCTTAATTTCTTATCTTTCTTTTCTTTTCTTTTCTTTTTTGGTAAGTAGGGATGGCAACGGGCCGGTTAGGGACCGGGTATGGCAATACCATTCCCGTCCCCGCTCACCATCCTCGTCCCCATCCCCTCCTCAATCCCTGTTTTAGGCTTTTCGGGGAATCCCCGTCCCCGTCGAGGAAGTGCCTCCCATACCCACCCCAGTCCCCGATTTTTAATAAGATATTCCTTGTTAAAATAATTTTCTAAAGCACAATCACATCATTGTGAAATTTTAAAAACAATCACCACAATCCCATGTAGACCCATTGATTTTTGACACACAACTTCAAGTTGAGCCTTTTATTATTACAAACTCTAATGTCAGGTGTGGGTTTCGAACCTCAAATTCAGTATAAGGTTAAACACTCTCAATCACTACAGTATGACCCTATTGGCCATTCCAACTTCAATGTAGGAATAAAAACTCTAAAACTTTATATATACTTTAAAATACATTATTCCAAACTAAAAAAAAAATTATATCAAACTATAAACCAAAACTTTATTAAGTATTCCGTCAAAATCAATAAAAAAAATTTGCTAAGGAAAATTTATATCAAGTTTGAAATAACTAAGAAAAATTATTGTGACTTCGATCGAAAAAAGGGGAAAAATTATTGTGTGATACAAAACTATGATCGCGTGGTATAACCAGTCCACGTGTTATAATATGGGTAGATAATATAATTGGTATTTCCGACTTATTTCAACATTGCACAATGATTGCTCAATAATAAATCAGTAAACTTCAGTCATATACTTTGATATGCTTAGTGCAAAACATAAGGTTACGCAACGAAAAGAAAACCTTTATACATTTATGAGGGCCTAATAAATCACCGAAGTAATCGGTCCATCTAATATGTCAACCACTTTGCAGGATATATTGGCCCTGCACTGTACCCACCCAAATCCTGATTGGGCACATCCATGGGCACATCCAAGCTGTTAACTTATCGGCTAGAGCCTAGAGCACACACACTACTGTTTATCAATTTATCATAGTAGTTTATGATCGAATAAGATTTGCTTCATTTGCGTCTAAAATCAACAACGTAACACGTAAGAGGTTTGTAGCTCAAGTGATTTAAAAGTATTTATCTTTGTAACCGAGATTTTAGGTTTGTTTCCCCCTTCTCTCAATAGGACTTGTATCAAAAAGCAACAATGCAATGCAAAAATGTAATTTAATTGCACCTAGCTAGGAATCCATGTACAATCTCATACATTATAATAATACTAGAGTCATCAAAAACTGTCCCAAATTTAAGTCGCCAAATAGATATATGGCATGCCAATATCTTACCTACTAGAAACAATAAAGTTTAAAGTGACACCATATATGAATAAATGAAACACTACCATCATTTGGGATATGAAATTTTGGGATTTGTTTTGACATCCCTATCATTACTCTTTTTCATCAATGGTATCCTTAAGGTCACCTTGAACAAATCGACGCCAGTACCAATGCTTCACCCACACCGTATGCACTTGATCCAATGGGATTCCTTTCGTCTCTGGCAAGAAAAGCACGACGAAGACGGTCATTGCCAGAATCCAACCGCCGTAGAACAAGAATGTGGCATATTTTAAATGGCATAGCATGGACAAAAAGGTTTGGGATAGCACAAATGTAACACCAAAGTTGACAGCAAGCCCCATGCTTTGGCCTGTGGGTCGAATTTTCATGGGGAAAATCTCACTTGGTATAAGCCAACTCAAAGGACCCCATGACCAACCAAAACCAGCAGCATATAAACACATCAAGACCAGAACTAGTATGGCATAGCCCTTTGAGATGTGCCCGTTGCCATCGGTACCTGTTGTAGCTGCTAGAACAATAGCCACCGCAACCTGCACAAAAACGTATGCCAATTTATATGTAATGCATCTCGCTTCATGATTGTATTTCACCTGCACACAGTGGCTTTCATTCTAGGTCCTTTGACCATAAACCCAATCAGTTTAATTGTAAGGGTTTCATACTCAAATCAAATGTATTATCTTTTTCAAGGTAAAATTATACATACCTGACAGATGACCATTTGGATGCCACCCTCCATGAACAAAAACCTCCGGCCATGACGATCAACCATGTACGTCGACACAAGGATCGAGCCAAGATTAACCAACCCAAGAATAATAGACGCAATGAGAGCAGAGTCGTTGCCAAACCCTACAGACTGAAACAACACAGGCGCATAGAAAGCAATGATATTAATGCCAGTGACCTGCTGAAAAAAGGGCACGGCAATGGCCCCGATCACAAGCTGAGGCCTGTACTGCCTCTGAAATATGGTCACAAATGGCTCCTCGTTGAGAGCTTTGGCGATCTCGCTGGCCTTAACGAGCTGGGCAAGTTCTGCTTCGATATCCTCCTTGCCTCGGATTTTGATGAGAGATTTTCTGGCTTGGTCTAGTCTGTTGCGTTGTACTAAGCTTGTGGGTGAGTCTGAGATGAAGAGGGCGCCGGTGGTCATGATGGTGGCTGGGACTATGGCTAGGCCGAGGGAGAGGCGCCAGCCCCAGCTGTGATTCGAGGTGGCGTAGTTTATGCAGTTGGAGGCCACCACCCCGATTCCGATGCAGAACTGGAAGCCTGTGCTGAATGCGCCGCGCCACTTGGGTGGTGCGATCTCTGAGAGGTAGATTGGTGCAGACTGTTTTTGGACATTGTTAGAAGGGGATGTTAGTAAATGTGGATTCATACTAAGCAATGCAATTGATTTTCTTATTTTTTATTTTTTGACAAGACAATTCTAAATTACTATAATGTACGAGTTGTAGTTGAATTTTTATGCAAGAGAGGAAGGGGTAGAGACACAATGCGTTGGTAAACTGACTTAACCCACATTTGCATGCAATATTACTCCAATGCGTATTATAATTGTGAAATTAATTAAATACCTAAATGCCTAAAATTTCGTACATTGTTAATGCAATTTTTTATTTTTATTTCTTATCAACAATGGGGGAGAAATAAAATTAGGCCAAGACCAATTGATGGACTAGGTATTTTAGTACCTTGTCATATGTAATCGAGTCTCTAGAGAAAATATCATAAGTTCAGGATAAAACTCTTTGTACGATCTCAATTGATTTGTGAGACACTTTTTTGGTCTCCACATCTTTATTCTAAAGATGGTCCATAGGTAATCACAGTGGAATGGTTTGGAGAGAAATTTTTACGAGATTTGTTTTTGCCATGTGACAGTATTGAGTAAAAATATCGAGTGACAAAACAGTCTAGTTAAAGATGACATGTATTGAGAGAGTAAAAATAATCATTATTTTAACTTAACTGTTCAACCACTCAACGCTGTCACGACGGTATAAACAATCCCACTTTTTGTCAATACTCCTATGTTAGAATTTGGAAGAAATTATTGGGTCCAAAATCCCATTTTTGGGAATGTAATAGAATCTTCCATTTTGATGGGCTATATTCTTATTAAACCCAAACATAGCGTTAGAGATTGGTAGACTTACTTGGTTTGTGAACCCAACACCAAATCCAAGCAAGATACGGCCCAAGATAAGCATGGCAACATTGACAGCCCCACCATTGATAGCAGACCCAGCAAAGAAGGTACACCCACCCAGCACCATGACATTCCTTCGGCCCACTATCCTGGCCAGACGGCTGGCTACAAGTGAGGCAGCCAAACCCGCTATGTAGAGAGAGGATGTGAAGGACGTCAAAACCTGACTATCGTACACACAATATATGTTTTTGGGGGGCCTTCCTGCTTCCTTTCTCAGCACTGATGGAAAAAATTTATTCAGAAATGATGGCATTGTTGTCACTCCTCCTGAAAAATTTGTGCATTTGCATGGTTAATTTCATGCATTTGATCAGCAAACTGTTCACTTTAATATGATAAGTATAGTGCTAGGTAGGTTTAATATAATCAACGTGTCTTTCAGTACATTATGTCTGATATCAACACGTATTAAAAATATAAATTCTTCCGACTGAAATATGTAGGCGAAATTGAGCTGGTTAGCTCGGCCGCATCTTAATTCTCTTATCAAATAGTTTGATACGTTGTAAAAATTAACGAGTAAGATAGATTTTTATTCCAAATGCGTGGTTCTTAAACAAAGGTTCACGTTCAAACACTGGCGGAACCACATAAAAAATAAACCTATATAGCCAAGTATTTTAACTTAAAAATTAAAAAAAAAATGCACAATTTCATACTTTACCAATACCAATAGGCATAGTCAGTGTGTTTGTATTTGGTGTCAAAGATTGTTGCAACACCACATAGTAAGGGTAAAGTCTTAGCTCTAATTCTCCAATTTTAATATTTTTTTTATTAATTTGTCTCCCAAAAAGAGAAGCATTTTTCTAAATGAAATTCACTCTTCCATGAATAATATGACTATAATTTCATTTGTTTTTTTTCTTGTGTTTGCAACTAGCGTGATTTATATAATAGTATACTTTTATTTCTAGAAACTGCTTTTTTTTTTTTTTAAATATTTATAAATATAATTAGATTTTAAGCTAATAACTTTAACAAACCCACCTTCTGAAATTTATGGTTCTGCCTTCTAGTTCAAATTTATATAATTGTAACATATAAAAGTAGGTACGTAACCATTATATGAAAATAAAAGTCAAGATGATGCTACTCATATAATAATGAGGAGGAGAGAGAATTGTATAATTCTTTGTTTAATAATATGAATCACTTAACCAAATGATAATGAGGGGAAGAAAGCACTAGAAAGGCTTTTAAAAAGCGGCCAACCAAGAAACAACCTTAAAAATCATCGCACCTGTAAATGCAAAACCCAAATTGGTTTCGATTATTAAAATTGATTAGATCTCTACGTTATCTTCTTAATAATAAAATAAAATAAAATAAATAAAAATCATGGGACACCCAACCTAACCTAACAGTCAACAGCATTCAGTCGCAAATTTGTTGTGAATTATGGAGATTGGAAAAATCTGTTTTGTCCTTTTTCTTTTCCAAGATCATAGACTTTTACCAAACCCTACCCAACCCAACCAAACCAAACCAAAACTTGAGCTGCCAAAACACAATCATGATTCATGGAATAATATCACACAATCATGATTCATGGAATAATATCAACTCATGAATTATGAGAGCTAGCTAGCTGCCAAGGGAAAGGCCCAAGATTCAACAGGTCCCTTGTAGGTAAGATTTGTTCTCTTCGTGGGATATAGGCAACGGATATTATTACTTTCAATTTAGCTTTTGACATTTAATACATACATTGTCATTTTCACGGTATAAAAGTTAGAAAGACTTATTTTACGTCCACTGACTTATGCGAGTGTTGTGAAAAATTTCTAATCGTATCAACGTACAATCCGCATTTGATTAATGGGTCGAAATAATTTACCAGAAAATAAATATCAACTAATATTGTTTAAGTTGAACGGTGACTACCCATAATTCTAATATTTGCAGGCTACAACTACTGAACTTAATTTCACTCATCAATTGCAAATTTGGAACCCTCTCATGCTTCTTCTAGTAGTTCTTTTTAACTTTTAGTTTTTGGATAGTTTTGTCAGGTGAAAAACTTCATTAAAAAGGGAAAAAAAAAACATAAACTGACGAGGAAGGAAAAACTTAATAGAAAACACTAAAACAAAGTCTAGTTAAAATCGAACGTCAACAACATTAACGGAACCGCTAAATAATTTACACAAAACGCACCTGAAATTCCGATGTCATAACCAAATATGAGGCCGCAAGACGCAGCGACGATGCACGTGATCACGACGGAAGCCGTTATCTTGCCCTCGACGCCAGTGACAGCCAGAGGCCCGTCAACGGCGAAACCCACGGCCATTTCCTCAAATATAAATCTTGCACACTTTCCTTCCCTTTCTCGCTTGAATTACTACTCGAGTCAAAACGAAAGGAGCGCTCTAAGTCCACTGTCCACGTTCTGATGACAGTTTGAAGGTGCGCGAGAGAGATTTTGGGGTCAAGAAGAAGTGATTAATTTTTATAAGCAAAGACTAATGGCGTTGCAATTTGCAAATACTTAAATTTAAGCGACTTTACCCGCCACCAAAATAAGAAAAGCTACCTACCAGTAAGCTGGTCAATATTTCTGAACCTATCAAACTCCTCCACACATAAAAAAATTATTTGGTTTTTATAATACTTCCAATGAGGGGGAAAAACACTGTTGATTCCTTTGTCGGATATATGACTTTAGGTAAATTTGGATTAAGGGAACCGCACGAAAACCACACGTTTCAGATCAATTTGATTTGAGTATCTTAAAAAAGAAAAGTAATTACGTAAAGTGTGGAATGAGTGAAAAAGGGAAAATGACCACAAAATTTTCTCCCATGGTTGTCTACCATAATTATCACTAATTATGTTTAAATTGTTAATCATCGAATTAAAAAGATACATAAGTCAAACCCTTGCAATTAACTATTTAAATTTTAAGCCAACTGTCTTGAAAAAATGGGGAAGGGTTAGTTGGTCATGAAAAAAGTGTGCACCTTCCCTTCCATATTTCATTTTTTTAGGTAAATTTAGGTTTTACCCATAATAAAAATTTTACTTTTGGAAAAAGCCAAAGCTTTTTCAAAAAATACAAAAAAACCTCTCAACTTTAAAATCAAAGACATGCAAATGTAAATGATCCCTTATGAAATCCAAAAAAAAATAAGGGCAATTTTGTCTATTTTGGCTTCTTTTACAAAATTTCTTTTTTTTTTTGGTTTTTCCAAAGTCTTCCACTACTTGAATAGAAAGGGAAACTACAGATAGAAATGTTTGGAACATTAGCAAATGTGTCTCAAATTGATGGTTGTTTCCATAAGCATAGTTGCTGAGGGTCATATCATGACGTGTTTAAACTGGTACTCACTTTGAGGTGGATACTTAAGCTCACCTAATCAAATGACTTTATAGCTGCCCTAGGTTACCACCATACATTTTATGAGAATTTTAAAGAGTTGTGTTTACCATTATAATTCAAAATCTTGATCCAACCGCAATCGCGTGTTTGATCGAGATATACTTCACTACTACAGTATGACTCATAAGGCACTATGCTCTCTTGTGCCCTTTGAATCAACTATTTGTGCTTAGAGTTTGTTTGAGAATGCTTCTTAGTGGGTTAGAAAAGTGTTCATGACTGCTTTTGACAAATAAATTTAAACTTTTTTTTTTTGGTGAAGAAGGACCAACATGTGATTTTTCAAGAAAAACTTCAAGTGTTTTTACATGCAGCACTTGGATTCTTAACAAAAATGCTTACAAACAAAAGTGCTTCTTCTAAGAGCAATCTCACAAACCCTTAGTGCCTGTTTGGTATCCAACTTGATTTAAACTCAAAAACAGAATTTGAGTTTAAAACAAAGAAAACTTTTTTGGTAGCCCTATTTTCAAAAACTCAAACTCAAGAACAATTAAAAAACACTCCAATGATTAAAAATAAAAAATATATGTTTTTTCAGTTTTTTTCTAACAACCCACAAGTTCTCAAATTTTTAAGATTTAAAAACAGTTTTCAAGTTGCATATCAAACAAGTTTTTTAATTTTAAAAATAGATTTAAGAACTCATTGTTTTTAAAAAAAATCAAAGTTTTTGAGTTCCCTATTTGAATAGGATACCAAACACCCCCTTAACTTTTTCAGTTGATTGGACTTTTGGACAGGTCATCCTGACACAATACTTGTGGCGTTGGTTCTATTCTATGTGCCGTTGTCTGTTTTCTGTTTTCTAGAAGAAACATAGACAAATTTTCCTTTGGGTAAAACATCGACAAATTTTTTGCTTGAACCCACAAAAACTGGGAGTGAGTTTGCCTGCCAATGCCTATGTGCAGTTTTCTAGTAATGCATCTACTTGAAAAAAGCAAAAAGCAAAAACAATTTACAACCAAAAAAAAAAAAAAAGGAAAGAACAAAAGAAAAAACGAAAGAAAAGTACAAAGAAGGATATGCCTCCAATCTCCTCCATTTGTCAACAATCCGTGGTTGGAATTTCAGTGCTGGTTTAAGGGATCCGTTTGAAGAACTTAAAAGTTGTCCTTCTCCATAAGGCTTTATCCATCAGTCTCAGTTCGATTGTTTGACTTGAAATATTTTGGGCTCAAAAGGCCCTTTTTTTTTTTCAAGCCTTGCAGTGTTGGGCTAAAAATGGGCCCAGGCCACATAAAAGACCCCTAAGAAAGGTGACATTTTAATTAAATAATGAAATACGACACTTTAAGTTAGTTCCTAATTAAGTCCTTACAATTTTCAAATGGCGAGAAAAAGGGGGATTATGAGTTAGAATTATGATAAGTCGAGAAATTAATCCCTTCCAATGTAATAAGAAAGGAAACCCCACGACTATGAAATTCAATGAAGAAAAGGAAAAATTGAGTATGATAGCTTTGAGCACTAAAATTTGTGTTTGGATCCAACCTTGTCCAATGAAATTATAGGACTTAAAACTCATATTTTGGTCCTCCCCATGAGCACAAAAGAGTGACTCTTAATTATTACTCACTTCAAATATTTTAAAACAAGTTAATACATATTTTTAATTCAATTTAATGATATTTATCTTTGGGCTTTTAACTGTAGAGACATCCCTAAATTTTGCCTCGACTTGCAATTGGGTCCTCCGAACTTTTTTTTATAGGCAATTACATCCGTTAACTCGATAAATAGTTCCAATTGGGTCATACCGTCCAATTCTGACAATTTGTCCATCAAAATAAATGGGTAAAAGCGTCCTTTCAAGTTCTTCATCCATCATTGACCCCAACCACCCCACCTCCATCTTTAGAGCCTACTCCCCCAAGTCCAAAACTCAAAACCCCTAACTCAACGATCCTGGTTATGAGAGTGAAACCATCAAAGGCAAAACCCCACACCAACTCCACCTTCTTCATCCATCATCGACCTCAACCACCCCACCTCCATCTGCAGAGCCTTCTCCACCAACCCCAAAACTCAGGAACCCCCAAGTCAACGATCCTGGTTATGACAGTGAAACCATCAAAGACAAAATTCCACAAAACTACAAAACTCGACAACCACAATTCAACTTTAGGAAGGATTAAGCCATCATAGGCAAACCCCAAAACTCAGAAAACCCCAAGCCCAACGCCACCATACAACTACCCTCGTCCCTACCCTCGATCCACCCAACCTCACCTGAAACCCATCCAAATCCTCTCTCTCTCTCTCTCTCTCTCTCTCTCTCTCTCTTTGTGTAAATTCAAAAATTGAAAAAGAAAAAAATCGAACACTTTGCATCTTAGGGGTGTGGGGTTGAGGGAGATGGGGGTGGGTTGCAGGTTGGGTTGGGATCTGGGTTTTGAGGGGGTGGGATAAAAAGGAGGGGGAATGGGTTGCAGGAGAGAGGGAGAGACAGAGAGGGAGACTTGAGAGAGAGAAAGAGGGATTTGGATTTCTATTTTTTATTTTTAAGTTCATTTATTTATTTAAATATTATATAATTATTATTTTTTTGTACTTTTTTCATTTTTTTTTCAAATTTTAAAATTGAAAAGAGTTTAATTGAGATAGACAGTTTAGCCCTCAAATTAACAGCCAAATTGACGGAAGGACTCAGTTGAAATGGATGAGAGAGTTGGATGACCAAATTGCCTCGAAAAAAAAGTTCGGGAACCCAATTGCAACTCGAGGTAAAGTTCAAGGACCTCTATAGTTAAAAACCCTTTATCTTTCAAATGCTAAAAGATATCTATAGTATTTATAACATCATGAAAAGAATCAAATGAATCGTAGATTGGATTGCAACTTAAAAAAACAAAAACAACTTTTATGCCATGTTTATTAATCTGTAATCGGATGAGGAATAATTGAATTGAGGAGAAGTTGGATTCAGGAGAGTTAGAATTCATATTCTTATTAAAGTTCTTTACTAAACCATATGGAATCAGGGTTGGAATGATACTGATTCCTTGTAAGTTGTTTACTAAAGAATCATAATTGAAACAAAATTGATTCCTAAAATACTCTCGTTGCTGAGTTAAAATGGATGACAAATTTGAAATTTTAAAAATTATGTGAGGTTATATTGGATAAAATATAAAGATTTCTTAATGGATTAGTTATCTGAGGATTAGAATGCCACCTTTAATCCCACTCGCATGTGACGTAAAATACAGATCAGTTCGACGACCCCAAAAAGAGGCTTCTACATATTGGCGGGAAAGGGGATAAAACGGGGAGAAGACCGGTTCACTGGCTAGAAGACGGTAAACAGGTAAAGCGAAAAAACGCGGTAAATAAAGAAACAAAAGAGGGGCATATTCGTCAAGATAGCGTCAATGTCTTAAGCCCTTCACTCTCACAAAATCCCCATCTCAAATTACAAACCCTAGCGCGAGCCCTCCGCCGCAGCCTCAGACTCAGACGCTCTCAGTTTCAAGCTCTCAGAGATGTCGCACTTCGGACGATCTGGACCCCCAGATATCAGAGACACCTACTCTCTCCTCGTCCTCAACATCACGTTCCGTATATACCCTTTGGCTCTTCTCTTCCGTTCCCCTTTTCGGTTCTTCCTTGTTCAAAACCCTAACAATCTCTTTCCTTCTTCTGCTTTCTCTTTTCTGTGTGTGTTTTACTAGGAACCACCGCAGACGATCTCTTCCCGCTCTTCGACAAGTATGGCAAGGTAGTCGATGTCTTCATTCCCAGGGATCGAAGAACCGGTGATTCACGCGGCTTTGCTTTCGTTCGGTATAAGTATCAAGACGAGGCTTCAAAGGCCGTAGAGAAGCTCGACGGTTAGTTTCTTCTTCTTCTAATCATAAGGAGAAGCTAGGGTTTTGTAATTAACCAATCGATTTTGCTTTCAGGGAGAGTTGTGGATGGAAGAGAGATTATGGTTCAGTTTGCTAAATACGGCCCCAATGCTGAGCGAATGTAAATTTTTTTTGTAATGTTATGGGTATTGAGCAATTGGTTTGTTGCAAGTTATGGTCTTTTCATTGGTGAGTTGCTGTTTTATTAATTTGAAAGTTGTTGTTTTGTTTTATCAATTTCCAGCCACAAGGGTAGGGTGAGTGAATCATCTTCCAAGCTCAAATCAAGGTCCAGAAGCCGCAGCCCTCGTCCAAGGTGATATTTTTTCTTTGCTAGAGTTGCATAATTAGTTGTATTCTGATCCTAAGTAGAATTTGGGTAAAGCGATGTCAAACTTTGTTGTCTAATGTAGGGTTGCTAGTCCTTTTGCAATACTGTATATCCAATTGCAGTTTCCTTCTTAATAATTTGTGAGTCGGTAGTTAGAGCCCACTGTTGCTTTAGTACATCTAGGCATTTAATTTTAGCAGCTGATGGTTCTCATTTTCCATTGATGTGGACACAGCACGTGCAGTTCAAGGGGCATTCTTTTGTAGCACAGGGTCTCTTTGTACTCATCAAAATTTTCTTTTTAGTTATTAATCCTTATCTTAGATTGTTGTTTTTCATCTTCCTACATCTTTTTTGAGGTTTTGGTGAAATTTTCTATTTTTTTTTCAAGTGTCTTACACCTTACATCATTTTTCTTTCTCTGTTTATTTTTTCTGAGGGGTGTGGAGTGTTTTGGTGCATGAATTACCCTTTTTATATTTTATCATTTGGTTCCTAGCATAATTCCAGAGGACCCATGGCCTCTTTAACAGGGCGCAGTTGGGCTCAACCGTCTGAAATTCGAAATACCTCTTATTTCGATCCCAAACACAGCTCGTTTCATGTGTTGAATAGTAGGATTAGGTCTTTACTACTCCTTTATGCTGTATGATGCTATGGGTGGAAGATGTTGTGTTTAAGTGATTTGATTATTGCAATGGCACAGTCCACTTAAGTTTCTATTCTCACTGAACTAAATTTACATGGTTTGAGGTGTTTATTTGTAGCTGATACAACTAAATATACTTGCAACTAATTTTGTGCTTTTGAAAAGGTGTACTACTAACATGGCCTTTTTGAACTGTTACCGATTTATTTTCCAGAGTCTATTGTGGAAATTAGTCTGCAGCAACTGACCCTATAGATTTTCAGATATCGAGATGAATATAAGGATAAGGATTACAAGAGAAGTCGCAGTCGAAGTAGGGAGAGACATGGTCGTGACAGGCATCATAGGAGTGAAAGAGAGCATCGCTACAGAAGCAGGAGCCGCAGTGCAAGTCCTGATAATCATAAATCCCGCGAGAGGGGTAGATATGATGATGAGCGGCGTAGTCGGAGCCGGTCATATGGAAGGTATAAAATGTTGTTTCTCTTTCCCCCCATCTTCTATCATGAACTGTTGTGCCTTACCAAAGTGTCTTTTTGATGCAAAATGGCTGTATTCTTAAGTGCCTCTCCCGCTCGGAATGACCCTAAATCTCGGAGAAGCCCTACTCCCCGGAGGAGCCTATCTCCCAGGAGGAGTTTATCTCCCCGGAGGAGCCTATCACCTCGGAGGAGCCCATCTCCTCGGAAAAGCCCATCTTCTCGGAGGAGCCCTTCTCCTCGTAGGACACCTTCAAGGGGTGAGAATGCTGATGGACGCAACCGGAACGAGCGCTCTGCTACCCCAAAAGATGTTTCACCACATGGTCGACGTGATGATTCTCCAAGTCTTTCCCCTCGTAAATCTGATGCTGATGTGAGCCCATACACCATGCATAGACCTTTAACTTGTTTAGCTTTGGTTGGATTGCAACATATTATTGGATAAATAAGTCTCTGCATGGGTTGTTTAGGTGGTTATTTTTGTTCTGCAGGAATGATGGACTCGAATACAAAGTGGCCTGGGATTATACTTTTGGCTCGAGCCCTTGTATCTGCGTTCGTAGTTGGGAGAAGAGTTTCATATTATGATCAACGTATTGAATGTTACATTTGACTGCACTGCAGTTTTGTTGAAGGTTAAACATTTCTTTGTTGGACTCAGTGAGTTTCTTAACTCATCTAAGTTTGATGGTAGCTTTTTGTATTCTTATTTATGGGCTGGTACAATATTAAGTGTTTGCTGTAGTTTCTATGATGGCCTTAGCAGCCCTGGCAGTGGGAGTCTTCCTATTAATATTTCACATTGCAACTTTTTAGCTTGTGTGCTTGGCCTTTTTCCTCTTTAAATATTTTATCCTTTTGATTTCTAATTACTCATATTTATTTCTAATTTTTTTTATTACCTGAATTTATACCACTTAGTTATTTTACCTTTATCTGTTTTTCTTTCTTTAGATTGAAATGTGCTATGTTCATATACTTACGATGGTCCATATACTGGCCTTATTTAGTGATGTTCGGGAAGAGTGAACATTGCTGATTGACGAGATGCTGTACTAGCTGTTGGTGCTATTTTAACTACACAAATGGTAGATGTCAATATATCATGTCCATGCTGATTGCAGTCTGGTCTTATTCCTACTTACAATGGTCCATATGCTGGCCTTATTTAGTGGTGTTCGGGAAGAGTGAACATTGCTGATTGACGAGTTGCTGTACTAGCTGTTGGTGCTATTTTTACTACACAAAGGGTAGATGTCAATTTGTCATGTTCATGCTGATTGCAGTCTGGTCTTAAGCTGTTTTGCTGTCATGAAACTCTGGTTGGGTAAGAATAAAACTCATGATTTCAGTCTAATATCCATGGGGTTCTTTCTTTTCTCTGATCACACTTATTTTGCTTTACTGTTTGTAAAAGTTTGTTCCTACAAAGGAAACGTTGATGCTGTTGCCAAAAGTTGATCGGAATTCACTTGCCATTCCATGTAGCTGATGCGGTTTAGATAAAAACACATTGACTTTTTCTCTTTTAGGTTATTTTAGGGAAGAGAAGAAAAAAGGGGTGGGGTTTGGTTATGATTTTCACCAGTTAAATGTTACTGGTCCATATTCTTGAGTCATGCCCTTGATGCAATATTGGTATATCTGGTAAATACTGCCGCAAGGTACTTGTTCAGCTGTGTGAAAGATGATTTATTTTCTGCATTGTTAAGCTTGTATAATAATTTCTGAATAAGTTATGTAATTGTAACCTTTCTTATGCCAATTTTATTTTCATTCTGTAGAACTTCTTTTGTGTCTCGGTACCAGTATCTTAATCACTGTTTTCTGACAACTAGCCAAATTTTGGACATGTTACATGCATTTATCTCACTTTTATTTATTTTAATCGTAGAGTTTTAGATTGAACCATGAATATTTCTTGGTTGATGGTAATCATTGTTCATGACAAAATGTTGTCTTAATTAAATGTGGTCTCGGAGACCTGATTTTTACTTTATATTAAATAACTCTTTCATCTATTTCTTGTTTCCTCCTTCTCACTTGTATGACAAGTCTTCACCATTCAGATGAGTTAGCCTCTCAGATATATGACTTGGTCTTTGTCGACAGAGTTGATTAAGGTAACTTGGTCATGGATCTGGATCACCGTCAACCAAAGCTGAGGAATTTGTTTTAAGTTTAAATCAATGCCTTCCCAGTTGCGCATGCTTGTTTGAGGTTGCAGTTGTAGCTATCTTAAAGCTTGCATTTGATCCTATGCAGCCAAAATTGTCTTCCTGTTTGCTAGTTTCTTTGGTCGGATAACTTAAACTAGAACTCTAGTCAAAAGTCAACTTAAAATCCATGTAATATCATATTTGTCTCGCTTTATATAAAAAAACTGATTTGGCTTGGGAAATCTTTTTAATGTTTCATGACGGAGGTGATTACGTGATATAGGACACAAGGACCCCCCAAAAAAAATCAAAAATAAGAAAAATGATACAAACATATTTCACTTTAATTTGATCTAAATTACGGAGAGAGAGATTCGAATTCGGGTACAAAATGGGGAGTATGATGACTCTAGCTAACTTGGCTAAGTCCATTATTGGATGAGGAGAGATGTTAAGGTTGTGTGTGTTTTTGGTTTGAAAACGACACGTAATTGATAAATAAAGAATCATAAGATGTTAGACCATATAGCAAAAATACAGGTTTGGATATGAGGAACAAAAGCAAAATATTAAGATGGTTTTTTGTTGTTGTTGGTAATTTAAAATATTAAGATGTTGAATGGCAGGCAGTTGTACCTAGCTAGAAGAAAAATAAACATTATTCAATCCGACGCCCAAAAGCATAAAACAACCGTTATCTGTCCAAGATCAAAACAAATAATAGAATACTTACCAACCGACAAAGGAGCAAATGATTATATAAGCAACTAAGAAAAATTATTTACAGATAAGTAAGAGAGATTGCGTCATGTCTTAGCCCATAGATGCTGACTCCTTCTAAATAATTTCATAATCAGCAGACGACTTGTGAAGATATAGAAAATAGAAATAGGATCATGTCATCCTTTTGGAATTGATCATATTTTTATGTCCAACTAATTATGTTTTGAGTTTAACGCATAAGGGAGCTCTGCATTTGAGTTCACTAGAACGTGGCCCTGTGCGACTCGAATGCAGGATTCCCCATGTGTGTGTCTTCGGCTGGACGGGTGAGGTGGTCTGCCTGCCAAACTCAAGAAGAGGAGGAGGGTGAGTGGAGGTGAAGGTTATTTGGGATATTTAAAGGATAAAAATGGATATAATATGCTCTAATTTCCTTCTTTAGGCATGCACATTTGTAATGATTTTGTGATTTTTTTGGTTTTTCTCAGGCATTTGTAAATGCCTTTTCGAATTCGTTGGTCTGGGTCCAATATAAAATTTGATTCTGTTTGAATAAGAAGTTGTCTAATATACAGATTATAATATCCTTTAGAATATCAGCATGACATGCCACCCTTGACACTGGACTTAATAATAAGAAATTTACAAAACAACGAAAGAAGGCTTTCCAAGTTCATAAAGTCCTCTTCATCAATTTGTCAAAAGGAACAGAAGGTAGAAGAATTACAATTGAAATACCAGTGGGATCTTAAACCGTTACAAGCACCATGGGAACATCAACCTCTAAGAAGTGTTTACGCTCTCTAAGTTTCTTTATCACGTCTGTGTTTGTTTTCATTTCATCAGCAAGTCATGTTGCTTCTGCTGCTTCTTCTGCTGAAGAAGCCGGTGCGCTTCTGCAATGGAAAACCAGCCTTCAAGACCATCAGTCACGCCTAACTTCATGGACTTCTCTGCACTCTTCCAACACAACAAGTCCATGCACTTGGTTTGCCATTTCTTGCAACACTGCTATGAGTGTGATCAAAATAAACTTGACTAAGTCCGGTTTACAAGGTACGCTCTCTGGATTTTCGTTCTCGTCGTTCCGGAATCTTGAGCATTTTGATCTCAGCATGAACTCAATCTTTGGTACCATTCCACCTCAAATCAGTCAGCTCTCCAAACTAGTCTATCTTGATTTGTCGTGTAATCGGTTGAACGGTTCAGTTCCTGCTTCTGTGGGAAATCTGAGCAATCTGGCTTACTTGGATCTGTGTAGGAACTATCTAAATAGTTCCATTCCCTTAGAAATGGGGAACCTTTCAAGTTTGGTGGAGCTTTATTTGAATACCAACAATCTAACAGGTTCCATCCCATCAACTCTTGTGAACTTAAAAAGGTTAAGATTGTTATACATGTATGAGAACATGCTTGCTGGCTCCATTCCCCTAGACATAGGAAATATGGTATCTCTCAGGAATATAAACCTTCACGACAACAATCTTTCTGGTGCTATCCCAGTTTCCTTATGTGACCTGAGAAACCTTACCTTGCTTGAACTCTATCGGAATAATCTTTCAGGCCCTATTCCGGAAAATATTGGAAACTTGAAGTCTCTTCTTGTTCTAAATCTAATGGAGAATAACCTCAGTGGTCCTATTCCTTTGTCAGTTGGTAATTTGAGCAAGTTACAAGTTTTATACATTCGTGACAACCCACTGTCAGGTTCCATTCCTGAAGTCATAGGAAATCTCATGAATTTGGTTGTGTTCCGAGTTGCCAGAAACAATTTAACTGGTTATTTGCCAGAGAACCTCTGCAAAGGTGGAAAGCTTAAAAATTTCACTGCAAATGGCAATAGTCTAATAGGCCGAATACCCAAAAGCTTGAGAAACTGCACAACCTTGTACAGAGTCCGACTTGATGGAAATCAAATCACTGGAAATATATCTGAAGACTTTGGTGTTTATCCAAACTTGGATTACATAAATTTAAGCGATAATAAATTTTATGGCGAAATTTCGGACAAATGGGGTAAATCTCTGCAACTAACAAATTTTGAGATTGCAGGGAACAATATCACTGGTTCCATACCACCTGACCTTGGAAACTTGACTCAACTTCATCTGCTTAATCTTTCTTCAAATCATTTAGTTGGGAAGATCCCTATGGAACTTGGAAGGCTGACTTTGCTTGTGAAGCTTATGCTGAATGGCAATCAACTTTCTGGTGGTATACCTCAAGAACTTGGATCACTAACTGACCTTGAGTATCTTGACCTGTCCACAAACAATTTGAGCTTGCCAATACCAAGTAGCCTTGGGAACTTTATGCATCTGCACCACATGAATTTGAGCAACAACATGTTGAGCCACAAAACCCCATATCAGTTGGGAATGTTACTTCAGCTGTCTGTGCTGGATTTGAGTTATAACTCTCTGGATGAAGAGATACCAACTGAGTTTTTTGGTTTGGATAGCTTGGTGACACTAAACCTCTCCCACAACAACCTCTCTGGTGGTATTCCTGGCACTTTTGATAAAATGCGTGGCTTGGAGTTCGTTGACATATCATACAATCAATTACAGGGTCCAATTCCAAACAACAAAGCATTTCAAGAGGCTCCCATTGAAGCATTCCTGGGGAACAAAGGTTTGTGTGATGCTACAGTTCTGCAGCCCTGTCCTAGCAAAAAGAGGCCTAACTCGAAAGTCAGTTTCAAAATTGTGTACTTAGTTGTGCCACCTGTGGTGGGAGCACTTCTAATTGCTTCATGTGGAATTTATATCCCTTTACTAAGAAGAAAGAAACGTCAACAAACAGAAGAATGTGACATTCCCCCCAAAGAATTTGAACTGCGTTCAATTTCGATTTTCGGTGGGAAGTTGTTATATGAAGAAATCATAAAAGCAACTGAGAATTTTGATGATTCATATTGCATTGGAAGAGGGGGAGTTGGAAGGGTTTACAAAGCAAAGCTGCCCTCAGATGACTTGGTAGCTGTAAAGAAACTCCACAGTCCATGTGATGGTGAGAGGAGCTTCCAAAAGGAGTTCTTAAATGAGGTAAGGGCATTAACTGAGATACGCCATCGAAACATTGTGAAGCTTTATGGTTTCTGTTCACATTCGCGACACTCATTTTTGGTTTATGAGTACCTTGAAAGGGGTAGCTTGTTTTCAATCTTGGCCAATGATGAGGATGCTAGTAAATTGGATTGGAGTAAAAGGGTGAATATCATTAAAGGTGTGGCTCATGGCTTATCCTACATGCACTCTGATGTGTCCCCGCCAATTGTTCATCGAGACATATCCAGCAAGAACATTTTGCTAGACGCGGAATATGAGGCTTGCATTTCAGACTTTGGCACTGCTAAGCTTCTTGAGCAGGACTCATCTAACTGGACCACCGTTGCAGGCACATTCGGATATGTAGCACCAGGTAATTTCTTGTCAAAGACTGCCATGACATGTTGTCAGGCTGTCTATCTGAACTACACAATCAAATAAGAATCCACCTAATCAAATGATAGTTCAGATCGACAATCTGACACATAACATGCTACATTATTCTACATAAGATCAGCTCTTGCGTACCTAACCTGTTGTACTCTTAAAAGAAAACAAAAAGACTATTTGACATTTATAACTTTTGTGTTTTCCCTTTTGTCAGAGTTTGCTTATACATTGAAGGTGACTGAGAAATGTGACGTCTACAGCTTTGGAGTGTTAGCACTTGAAGTGATTAAAGGACAGTACCCGAATAATATTCTAATAGGGTCTTTGTTGTCACCAGCGTTAAGCAGAGAAGGCAAAATTCCGGTGGAATTGCTGGATGGTCGCCTTCCACCACCCACAGATAAAGTTCTGGATGAAATTTTTACTATCTTGAAGCTAGCTGTTCCATGCTTACATGCCAATCCAAAATTTAGGCCTAGCATGCTTGACGCTTCTCAGATTATAACACTAGAATTCTCCCAGATTGAGAATGACAGACAGAGGGCTGAATTTATGTTTGGTTGAGGCATTTGGAGAGGATATGAACTTGGATCATCTCCTTCAATTTGTATAGGCTAGATGTAGCTACCAATTAACTGAACTCTCTGTTTGTGTATAGACAGAATTTTGGTAAACACCCTCTTGCATGTTGTATAAATAAAACGAATATCTTATAAAAGTATTCAGAGATGTAATTCTGGTGTTTGGTGATAATTTTTTCTATGAGAATAATAAACTCTTACCAGAAAATATAAGCAGAAGATTGGAGAATCATTAATTGATTTTTCAACTTCTGAAAATAATAGTAAATACTCAAAATTTAAGAGCCATTTGATGCCTCTCAACTTGATGAGAAAAACGACACAAGTGCTGACTTTCATTTTTGGACATTTTGGAAGTCTGCGGTTAGCTTTCTGTCCCTACACATAGACAAAGTCAAAAATCACTACTTCAAATTTACAGAAACTTAAAGTAGAAAGCAAACAGAGAGAGAAACATGAAGAATAAAAAGTAGGAGAGAAGGAAATTATGATTGAATCTCACTCTGATAAGGATAGCTGGGCTAGTGGTTGTGACTTGTGTGAGTGCTCAGCCTTCAGTCCTTCTCTTCTCCTTTATATACCGATCTCTGCATGATTGCAGCTAAGTGTGAAAAGGGCCTTGTCCTGCTGGAGGTGCTAGAAAAATGGTGCGGTCAATTGTAGGCCATTGTTTATCCTCTATCAAAATATCATGATCAGATGGGACCAAATGGCATATTATTCTTATGTAATTTCAACAAGAAAGTTCAGGGGTTGAAATGTAATAACAATTTGTGGAAGAGAAAAAAACAGACATTCCCAAAGACTTGTCAATCTTTGACTGAAGTGTTTTTCAAATTCCTCAGCACACCATCTTGAGTTTTCCATCTTCATCTAAACAGGACCATAGAAAGAGACCGTGTTGCAGATAAAGCCTCAAGCTCTAGATAGTGTTGTTTCTCAAACAAAAGCCATGAGAGCTTCAACTTATGATAAGGTATGCTCTCTAGCTTATTGCCTTATCTTGTATGTTCAGCTGGTTTCATCATCAACCATTGTTTTTGCTTCTGCTATTTCTACTGAAACAGATGCTCTTCTCAAATGGAAAGCCAGCATTGAAAACCAAACCCAGCTCCAAAATCTAACCTCATGGACTTATCTTCCAAGTAACAATGCCATCAATTCTTCAAGCAATCCAGAAGCAAATGAAAATCCATGTAATATTTGGAGTGGGATTTCCTGCAACACTGCTGGAAGTATCAGCAAGATAAACCTTACCAAGTCTGGTTTACAAGGTACACTGCATGAATTTTCATTCTTGTCCTTTCCCAATGTTGAATATATTGATCTTAGCAGGAATAAGATATATGGTGCCATCCCACCTCAAATCAGCTCCCTCTCCAAACTCATCTATCTTGATCTCTCAGATAATAAGTTGTCAGGAAAAATCCCACCAGAAATTGGTTTCCTAACAAATCTTCAGAATCTGTACCTATATACAAACAAGCTAAATGGCTCAGTTCCTCAAGAAATAGGCCAGCTTAAGTCTCTTGTTGTTCTAAATCTCATGGAGAATAGACTCAGTGGTCCTCTTCCCATGTCAATTGGTAATTTGAGCAAATTACAATTTATACAACTACGCGATAACCAACTCTCAGGTTCCATTCCTCAAGTGATAGAAAATCTCATGAATTTGGTTGTGCTGAGACTTGCCAGAAACAACTTCACTGGTCATTTGCCACAGAACCTTTGCCGAGGTGCATTGCTTGCAAATTTCACTGCAAATGGCAATCGTCTCATAGGTCGAATCCCTGAAAGCTTGAGAAACTGCACAACCTTATACAGATTCCGCCTCGATGGAAACCAACTCACTGGAAATATATCTGAAGATTTTGGTGTTTATCCGAACTTGGATTACATAAATCTAAGCAACAATAGATTTTATGGTGAACTTTCACATAAATGGGGGAGGTCTCTGCAGCTAACAAACCTTGAGATTGCAGGGAACAATATTACTGGCTCCATACCACCTGAGATTGGAAACTTGACTCAACTGCATTTGCTTAATCTTTCTTCAAATCATTTAGTTGGGAAGATCCCTATGGAATTTGGAAGGCTGACTTCTTTGGTGAAGCTTATATTGAATAACAATCAGCTTTCTGGTGGTATACCTCAAGAACTTGGATCATTGACTGACCTTGAGTATCTTGACCTGTCCACGAACAAATTGAGCCAGTCAATTCCAAGTAGCCTAGGGAATTTTGTGAAAATGCACCACATGAATTTGAGCTACAACAAGTTGAGCCATGGAACCCCAACTAAGTTGGGTAGGTTAGCACAGCTGTCCGTGCTAGATTTGAGTCATAATTCTCTTGCTGAAGAGATACCAACTGAATTTAGCAAGTTGGGTAGCTTGGTGACACTAAATCTCTCCTACAATAACCTCTCCGGTGTTATTCCAGAGAATTTTATGGAACTTCGTGGCTTGGAGTTTGTCGACATATCCTACAATCAATTAAGGGGTCCTATTCCACACAACAAAGCATTTCAAGAGGCTCCCATAGAAGCATTGCAAGGGAACAAAGCTTTGTGTGGCAATGTTACAGGTCTACACCCCTGCAATAATAGTCCTGTTGAAAAGAAGCATAACTCAAAAATTGGTTTCAAAGTTGTGTACTGCTTGATCATGCTTCCTGTGTTGGGAGCATTTATGCTTACTTTCTATGGAATTTTTATCACTTCGCGAAGAAAAAGGGAAAGCCAACAAGAAGAACAAAGTGACATTCACCCAAAAGAATTCGAATTGCGTGCAATATCAATCTTTGATGGAAAAGTATTGTATGAAGAAATTATAAGAGCGACTGAGGATTTTGATGCTGCATATTGCATTGGGAGGGGGGCAGTTGGAAGCGTATACAAAGCAAAGCTGCCCTCAGATGACATGGTAGCTGTCAAGAAATTCCACATTCCATGTGATGGTGTGTGGAGAAAAGAATTCTTAAACGAGGTAAGGGCATTAACTGAGATACGCCATCGAAACATTGTCAAACATTATGGTTTCTGTTCACATGCACGGCACTCGTTTTTGGTTTACGAGTACCTTGAAAGGGGTAGTTTGTTTTCAATCTTGTGCAATGATGAAGAAGCTAGGAAATTGGATTGGATTAAAAGGGTGAACATCATTAAAGGTGTGGCTCATGGTTTATCCTATATGCACCATGATGTATCTCTGCCAATTGTTCATCGAGACATATCCAGCAAGAACATTTTGCTAGACACTGAATATGAGGCTCGCATTTCAGACTTCGGAACTGCTAAGATTCTAGATTATGAATCATCAAACTGGACTGCGGTTGTAGGCACAATTGGATACATAGCACCAGGTACAATTCAACATCTTGTGTTGTTTTCATCAGCTGGTTTGGATTTACATTCTTGGCAACATAATATGTCACATACTGTCTGACTTGAGAGCATTTCCCCTGTATACATTGTTCTCTTAACTTCTCATATGAGCATCTCTCTCCTAAAATAGAAAACTTATGCTTACCCTTTTTGGCAGAGCTTGCTTACACATTGAAGGTGACAGAGAAATGTGACGTCTATAGTTTTGGGGTGTTAGCTCTTGAAGTGATTAAAGGAAAGTACCCTAGCAATCTAGTGGGGTCTGCATTGTCATCTGCAATCCGGGGAGGCAAAATGTTGGGGGATGTGTTGGACGATCGCCTTGCACATCCCACTGGTAAAATTCTGGATGAAGTTGTTACCATCCTAAAGCTAGCAGTTGCATGCTTACATGAAAATCCAGAGTTAAGGCCTACCATGCATGACATTTCTTGTAACAATACAAATCTCCCATACACAGAAACACAAATAGAGGGTTAACTTGAGTTTAGTTGAAACATTTAAACAGAAGGATGTTAAAGCCATTTTTTGTATCTTAACCAGCTGCCACCAAATCATTGTAATTACTAATATTTAGGCTTTGTGAGTTCTTCATTTTGTTGTAATCATATATACAGGCTCTCCTTGAGAGATGGATAACAAGCAATAATTCTTTTCGTACATGGTATGACATCAGATTTGAGCATTTTTCGTCACCAAATTGCCTATCGTTATCGTATTAGTTTCGTTTCCTTTTCAATGATAAAATGTGCTGTTTGCATGCATACAACATCAAATTGACCGGAAGTGTTGACGATGGAGGAAGAAACCTTTAAAGTTAGAAGTCTTAACTCTGAATCTCAAAGTCTACTGTGAATTTAATATGCAAACAGAGAGTAATAGAAAATGGCATATCATTGTTACCAAAACAAAAACAATGAAATCTTCAACTTATTATGACCAAGTATGCTCTGCTCTCTAGCCTGCACTCTTCTTGTTTTCAAGAAGACTGAAATGTTGGGCTACCCTTTTCTGCCATACTTTTGCAAGGGGGTTCTGGTTTTTAGCAAGTTCAAATATTGCCTTTCCCAAGTGCTTGCTTTTTTCAAAGAGATGAACAATATATGTGGTAGTATAATTGAAATTATCAACCTCCGAATTTCTTGTTAATCAAGCATGCCCTTATGTCAATACACTAATTTATTAGTAATTTGGTACAAGCAGCATAGAGTATATATAAAAGAACCACCAGCTATAATTGAACTTTCAAATTGATTTGACTATGACTTCTTTATATATTTTTGCTTGGTTTGACACTGTACACGTAGCCGGTAAGTCAGTATTTCCTCACATGTGAAATTATTTGTGTACATTCAAATTTGAAGATAAGAAACAAGGACTTTGACTAAAAGTGTCTGAAGAAAATTCCAAATGGGAAATAAAATAAATCATTAAGAGGAAGAGAGTTTTCAAGCCTGTGATGCCTCACGTCTATAACGCATCAATAAACAAAAAGCCCTGAAATTGAGAAAAAACCATGAGATTTTTAACTTGCTATGATAAACTAAGCTCTCTAGCTTATTGTCTTATCTTGTTGTATGTTCAGCTTATTGCCTCTGGTTCTGATGAAGCAGAGGCTCTCCTCAAATGGAAAGCCACCTTCCAAAATCAAACCCAGCTGCAAAATCTAACCTCATGGACTTACCCTCCCAGTAATGTCAATTTCAA